TAACAACTTGAGGTCGAGGTTGAGATGGAGAAATGTAGATATCATGACAATGATCCTAAATACAACCAATATAAAGCATGTAACCAAAATTTTTTAAAAACAAAAGAAACATTATCGAACATTGATATTACCTTATTATAATTAATAACCATGACGAAACGAGTTTATGATTGAGAAAAATTGACACCAAGACCATGATCCTAAATACAACCATCATAAAGTATGTAAACAAAATGTTCTACTAAAAAACATGGTCATTATTTAACATTTTCTTAAAAACTTGCACACAAATAAATATTAGAATTACCTGATTAGAATTACTACCCATGATGAAACGAGATTGTGATTGACCTTGGCAAGTATAAATAGCAGCACCGGACTACATTGCCAGGCAAAGCAATGTAAAAATAACAAAAATTAAATGCCAAGCAACCCAATGAAAGGATATAAACTATTAAGTATTACCTGAATAGAATTACCACCCATGACGAAATGGGGTTGTGATTCACCTTGGGAAGTGTAAACAGTACCACCCGACTACATTGCCAAGCAAACCAATTTTAATGAAATTAATTCACAAAACTAACCATATAAAGACCACATTACTATTAAATATTACCTGAATAGAATTACCACCCATGCCGAAATGAGGCTGAGATTCACATTGGGGAGTATAATCAGCGGCACCCTACATACAACGAAAAACCTTAATGAAAGTGGGTCATTACTAAATAAAATCAATGTCTTAGTTTATTAATCTACCGTATTTTAATCATATGCAATTTTTCATGTCCAAACCTGAATAGATTGCATCCTTTTCTTCTTTGCAATAGATTTTTCCATCCCGCCTTTGATCCTCCTTCTTCCCTTACTAGTTGACTCTCTTTTCTTAAGTCCTTTAGCTTGGATTGGACAATATACTTCATCACTCTGTGGGCATGCATTGCTTGACGAATTTCTCAAATCAGTTACCTCCAGTTGACCACAAATGTGGAGACTTAATTTGTCTTCAACCATTACACTCATTTCTTCACCTTTCGAAACTAACAATTGATAAGTTTCTTCACTTTCAACGGCTCTACTCGCTATTGCTCTAAACATGGTCATTAATGACCGATATCGGTCACTTTGATGTAATTTGACATCAGCCTTCACTTCACACCCACGTCTATCTTTCACTCGTTCAGCCCTTGCTTTTTTAGTCTATCGTTTGAGTATATACTGTGAATGAAGTTCCGTTGCATTGAATATATCTCTAAGCACCTTGACACAATGTCGACATAGTATGCCCTTCACTTCAAACTTCTTGCAACTACAACTCAAACAACCCCCTCTATCCATTGTCACAATGTTATCTTTTTTCCCATCTACCATTGTTCTTATTGTGAATATGGTGTTCTCACCATCATTAGTAGTGCCTATAATGGATGCTTCAATGGACTACACATACTCATTTTGGAATTCCTCAAAAAATGTTTTCGTGTAAATCTCTGCCACTTGCTTTAACATCAAAGTTGGAATTGAAACCCTCGGCAATTTTTGGGACAAATTATACTCGGTTTCCAATTCCTTATATACCTCTTCTCATAAAGCACCCTCTCAAAATGCTTGAAGAACTCCATCAAGTTATGGTCACAATTCAGATAATCCTTTAGAAATGCATTAAAGGATTCACTAAGTTGAGTAGTACTCATTCCAGCTACCTAAGAATTCATAATATATGGCCATCCCCATTTCTCCTTCACGCGAAAAGTCTGCTCCAACCAATGATTGTCGAATACATCATACTTATCAAGCATTTGGTCCCACTGTATTTGGAATTCTTCTTCATCATCAATGTCATGCATAAATTTTGAAAACACAACCTTCACCCCTACATCATCGAAAACAGAACTTACATGCTTGACAGCATTTTGCATCAAATGCCACGTACAAAGACGATGGTTTGTATCGGGCATGACAATTGGAATGGCCTTAGCCATCGCAGCATCTTGATCTGTGAAAATAGTCTTCGAAGCTTTGTTTGACATTGCCTCCAAAAAAAAAATTGAAACAACCATGTAAAAGATTCAGCAGTCTCATCATACATCAATGCTGCACCGAATATAACTGTTTCTCGATGATGATTAAATCCAACAAATGATCCAAAAGGTCTATGCTCGTTATTTAGTTTGTAAGTAGTGTCAAATGTCACTACATCACCAAACTGAGCATAGTCCATGATCTTTTGAGCATCAGCCCAAAATATATTACTTATCTGCTCATCACAATCTAATTAGACTGCATAAAAAAAAGATGGATTTTCCACAGTTTTCTTACGAAAGTAATGCAACACACTACCCGCTTCCCTATATTCCAAATCTTTTTGTCTCTTCGATCTTAGGTAATTTTTTTGGTCCAAATTGGTGAAACCAAGTGATGCTCTTCCACCAGATTCCCTACCAAATAGTTCATAAGCAGACCTAAGAGGAATTCCAAATTGTGAAGCTAATTCTACTTCAATTGCTTGGGTGATAGACATTTTTCTTTGGGATGGCAACGTATGAATGCAATCTTGAGGCACAAGATCATGATTATGATGTTCAACAAAATCACAAGCAATATATTTTCCTGATATTCTAACTTGATACTAAATCGGGCACCACAACCACATGTTACCTCTTGTCTTGGATTTTTGACAAGTGGATCTCGTTTGTCAATACCCCGACTTCCCTCTTTGTAACATATAAACGTACGTGATGTTATCTCCTTCGTCTGTCTGTTCTTGTTTGCCTAGGCCTTCCTAATACTACAGCCCACCTTTCCCCTATACGTATTGTAAAAGTCATATGCGGCTTGTTCAGAGTCAAATGGCATTCCCACTTTCGGCTTCCAACCACAATCATCAACAATATTATTTTCTTCTATTACCTACAATTCATATATATAAACCACATTTATACTTAATTGCAGGTTCATATATATAAACCACATTCATATATATAAATCACATTTACCTACAATTCATATATATAAACCATATAATGGAGGCAAATTAAATGAATCCACAACTAAATTTATGAATCTGAAAATAGATCAATGTGATTAACTATATATATAGAACATAAAATTTCATATGAAAAAATCTGACTTACTTCACTGACTGAACCCATTTCAGTTGAAAAAATTTGAATTAATTGATTTCAAAAATCTGAATTTGAATTAACAGATTAAAATCTGAATCAAATATATTCAAATCAAATTTGAATTAACATGGGTTAATCTGAATCAAATTCGAATCAATTTGAATTAAAATCTGAATCAAGTTTGAATTAATCTGAATTAAATTTGAATTAATCTGAATCAAAAAATATTAAAATCTAAATTTGAATTAACAGATTAAACCTAGGCAACAAATTAAAATCTGAAATGGGTTAATAAACCATCTATACATATATACATATATATCATAACAAATCTGAAACAAACAATAACAACCATATATGCATATATACATATATACATATATATCTATGAATCCCCAACAGATACAGATTTTAATTTGTGAATCAATAACAACCATCTATGAATCAATCTGAAATGGGTTAAAATCTGAAACAAATCTATACATATATACATATATATATATATATATATATATTGAGAGGGTAATTTTTAGTAAAAATTGGGCCGAGCTATGTGATGGGCTTTGTGGCCCAAAGTGCCAAGGACTTG